AACCTTGCCACGCAAAACCAACACACACTTTTTGTGCTCTTTTGCCTTAACTCTCTTAAAATAGCTCATTAAAAACATATTAAGTAGAGGGAGTTAGCTCTGTTCCAGTACATCCCTTTTTCTTTATTTTTTTTATTACAATTACATTTCAGACATTCAGTTTTAAATCTATCTTTGCCTGTCTAGGAAGGAAGGACACTTAAATCTCCAGAAAAATATTCTATAAACAAGTTACTGATAATATTTTATAAACAAGGCAGGTAACACAAAAAAATAAGGTTCCTCATAATGTCCAAAATTATGTTCCATTTCCAACATACCTTCTCATACCTTCACCAAACTCCAACCATCTTGTCTTAAGCCTTAAAACAAGGTGATGTGCAAGGTGATGTGCTCTTGGAAAACCTAAGATTTCTCTGTGGCAAATTCTGCAAACAGACTTAAGGAAGTGTACTGTGTTTTTTACTTGTGTTTAAAAACTAATTTTGCTAGCATGAAATTGAAGTGCTTTAGGGTCTTGATTTCACTTTGAAATTTGTCAGGAAATGGCTTTTAACAGATAAATATGCAGGTTTATGTCCTGTGAAAATTCACAGGAAAATTCCTTTTGACGAAGTTCTTTAAAGCCCTGAAAAACTGCAGCTCTCACGTGTTAGAGGTTAGCAGATAAAGTTTACAAGATTTGGCCCTTAGTTTGTCACAAGTGTGCGCTTATGCCTCTTGTAAGCCTTGGTCTCTTTCGATGGTCATTTGCTGGACTTCTTCCAGTAATATCGGTGGGAAAAGATAAGCAAAGCTGGGTAATTTGTGGTCTTCTGAGAAGAAAAGGGACCTGTGAAGGTAGGCACAAAACTTGGAACTGAGAATAACAGGAGCTGTTCAGAAAGTGAACTGCAGAAGCTGGTTGGGAGCGGAGGCTTCAATGAGGATGCAGAGAGAGACTGGAAATGTGTAAGGAAATTGGCAAAAGGAGTTGCTGTGGAGGGGAGAGGGTATAGACAGAGTGGGGAAACAGATGCAGAAACAGGTAACAGGATAAAAAACATGGACGGTGACTGAAAAAAGTGACTGAAAGCCAGAGGGCATGGAGGTATGCAAGATGAGTGGGACTTGAAAAAGGGAGCATGAGGTGCTCAGAAACCAAGTTGTCATTAGTTGTCCATACCTACCTGAAATGCCCCAAAGCAAAGTGACTTAACCTTTCTCTGCTGGTCTATGCAGATGATTATCAGCTTTTACTGCTGAGTGAAATCTACTGACATAACAGTTGCTGTTTTGGCTATGAATCAAAGTTTCAACACAGTCAATAATTTCTGATGCCTGTAGAAAACAACATGAGAGAGTGGTTTTGTTTCATTTCCTATGAATTTAGCATCATTAACAGCTGTCCTATTTACTAAATTAATTATTTGTAAATTAGGATATGCTAGAATTAAACCAGCTTATATGGCCTTGGTTCCTTTGTTTTTATTTTTTTAGTGTATGGGCATTATGGTAACTTTTAGTTCTGTCTGAAAAATAGCTGTGTATGTCTGGATCTCTGTCACTTTCCAACCAAAGGATAGTTCACTTTGAGTATCTGACACTTTTTCCTTGTTTATCACATTCTTTCATGCTTTATTCGTTGTACTTTTTTCAAATTCTGTTTACAAATCAGAGTGACTTTCCATAGTAGTGTGTACTGTGCAAAATTTGCATCTTTTAACATCTGCTGTACATTGTCATCGGAGAAGCCTTCTCTAATTGCATCTCAGCGTACAAAGTAGTAAAGCTCTGAGCTGCCATGTAATTCCCACTCAGGTCAAAATTCTTCCGTGGTTTTTCATTTCCTGTTTGCTCCAGTTAGATTGATCAGTTGTAGATCTGTGAACTCGCTGAACTGGTTTTAATGAGGCTCTGCTGATAACATTGTAAGCAGAGTAACATTGTAATGTTGCATCTTAAAGCCAGTCAAGTTGTACTGTAACTACTACAGTAGAATTTGATAGGTAATATCTTATTTAAAATCTGGAAGTCCAAAAAAGGACTTCAGCTATTTGCTCATGTCTTGGCCAGTTTTTCTAGACTTCTAGAAGTTAATTTAACTTCCAAAAAACATAATTGGAGGTGAATTCAGTTTTCCTAGACCACGTAATGGAGAGACAGGTTGGCTAAGAGTCAATATTTAAACAGCATAGTGTTAGACTGCAATGGTAAACGCTTGTAAGTGAGCCTTAAGTTCACTGTAGGAGCTACATCATCTTGTTCTAACTGCAGGAAAACTTAATGTTTTATTTCCTTGCTATGAAGAACTACTGTATGGTAGCATGCCCGTTCACACTGCAGTTCTGCTTATAATACTGTGCATTAAAGAAGAGCTTAAAAGAGAAATCTTGTTTTAAACCTCTGAAGTTTGGAGGCTTTTAGAGCTGAAGTTGAAGATATATTTCAGTTATTCAGGAAAAGTGGTTATTTCTTAAGGCTTTTAAGTTGTTTAATGTGTCAAACTTACGGATTGGGAAAGGATTTGTCAATGCCTGGGCCTCTATGTGAGTGATTCTTGCTGAGCGGCAGCTACAGCGTAACTTACCATTGCCTTAAGAGCTGGCTGGAGGCTTTGGAACACTTATTAACAACCACACTCAATTATAGGGATACTGTTACTGATGTACCTCTTCACCTCTACCCACCCCCCAACTCTGAACAATTACAAACCAATCTGATTTATATTCTCTTCTCCTCCTATTAAGGTTAGAGACTTATTTGCTCTTGCTCGTAAAAATGCCCCGTGCATTCTCTTCATTGATGAAATAGATGCAGTAGGAAGGAAGAGAGGAAGGGGCAACTTTGGAGGACAAAGTGAACAAGAGAACACACTCAATCAGCTTCTAGTAGAAATGGATGGTAAGTATTTAACATCTGATATTACATTATAAATACAAGGATAAGGGAAATATACTTGTTCAGACCTGTTAACCAAGGTTTGGGTTCTAGCTTAAATATAAAATGTTTCCTTGCTTCCTAAAATGAAGAGCAGTGACTCATGTTTCTGCAGCCTGATGTTTTGCTAAAATTCGATCAGAAAAAAGAACCATCATTTTGCATTTGATAATCCTTTGTCATAGTTGAATAGGCCAAAAAAATTTCTTTGCATGAGATGAGTCTGGGAAAAAAACAAACAAACAAAAGAGCTAGCCATGCTGGTTCTGCAATTTCCTGAGCAGTTAATCTATTACTGCATTTTGAAAATAAAGCAGGATTTGATGTAGTACTTCACAAAGCAGAGCCTAAGGCCATTTTTTTGCTTCTTACGAAAAGCTGGACAATGCTTTAATAAATGGAAATATTTTCAGCTTTAAGATCATTTGTTTAAACTGTCAGTTCTTATGTGGCCCTGTAAAGCAGACGGTCTTTTAAATTTTTTTTCGTGGAAATTATATTTACATAATTTTTTTTCTTTATTACATTTCTTCAACAGGATTTAATACAACCACAAATGTAGTAATTTTGGCAGGTACTAACAGGCCAGATATTTTAGACCCTGCTCTAATGAGACCAGGACGCTTCGACAGGCAGATTTACATTGGTAAGTTTTATCTGCATCACTGTATACTTCTGCATTTGCAGAATCCCACTGAAATCACTGCAGCTATTGACATATGTAACTTCCTTGCATGCATTTGATTAGAGTGTGTGTGTATATATATATGACAAGTAAAAGCGTACTTCTTTAATCTTAAAGGACCTCCAGATATAAAAGGAAGAGCATCTATTTTCAAAGTTCACCTTAGACCTCTGAAATTAGACACGGTCTTAAATAAAGATAACTTAGCAAGAAAACTCGCATCACTAACACCTGGTTTTTCTGGTAAGTGACTCCTAAGGCCACTATTCTTATGCATTTACTATATAAGCTGTAGATATTTTATTTCCCTATTACTTCTGGCTTTTTTGCACCTGATCTTCTGGGTGGCCCTCATTTTACTGGTACAGCATGAAATTCTCTTTGCCTGTTTGAGCAAGTAGGAGAGTTTTGAGGGTCTTAAGGGGTTTTTTTTGTCTGCCTCAATCTGGATGACATACCAAATGGCAGTTTCTTCTGTCTTCCAATCTAGAGATTTCTCATTGCTATCACTCGTGCATTCATCCTTTTAATATGTTTGTTGGATTCTTTGAACACTACTAGGAAAGACCTGGGTTTTGTGGAGTTTGTGTGCATGTTCTGTAGGGGGATTTCTGTTTCTGGGTGTAAAAACTTCTCTCTGGAAAATGTACTGTAACCTTGTGTAGAATTAGGAATGGATGTGAGAATTTTCATTACTGGCTTGTAATTTAATCCATTTAAAATCTGTGTTGACCAGCAGTTGAATTTTTCACTGTTTTCACAGTCTATATAAACCACAGTCTGGGTTTCTGAGGTCTGATTGTCAATATTTCTGGCAATTGCAGTGATGATGTTTAAACTAAGTTACGTCAATGGCATTACTGCAAGTAATGTTAACAAGAACTGGATGGTTTGAAGCCAGTAATATGAAAGGATGTCCTCTAGAGATATGTCAAGGTCTGAGCTATACTGGATCCATGTGTAGGAAATTTATTCTGCTAAATATATACTAGTCTAAGTATAGTCTATTGCAGACAGAAAACTTAATGGAAGGTAGGATGTATCAAACGAGTACTTCACTGGTAAGTTCTATTTGGTAGCTGTCTACCTAAGAGAAAAATCCTAAAGCGTACAACTGTAGTATGTGTCTTTAAATATCTCTTAAAGAATTATGCTACGTGGAATGAACTATTTCAGAGACCGTTACCTTGAATTCTCAAGCTCTATGAGATCTATAGAAATCTAATTCTAGATAAGGTTATCTTTTTATGCTAGACTGAAAGTTGTTGCAAATGATCAGTAATTCATGCCTTCTCTGCTTTTAGGTGCTGACATTGCTAATGTCTGTAATGAAGCTGCTTTAATTGCTGCAAGGCATCTCTCAGATGCTATAAACCAAAAGCATTTTGAGCAAGCAATTGAAAGAGTTATTGGAGGTAGGTGAATCACATCAATTGTTTCTTAAAAATAGTAATATGACAGGTGACTTCCTTTATATATGTAGCCACACTTTGAATCTTTCCTCTGTTCTTCAAGGTTGCAGGGTGGTTTTTTTTCTCTCCTAAACACACCTGAGATTTAGGAAAGAAGTATCTTGTCTATATTGCTGACTTCTGCAATGGAGCAAGTGATAGAGAGAGAAACTTCATCAGGACGCTTTTCTAATTTCTTCAAAATGACAAAAGGAATAGCTGTTTGGATTTTGCATTGCTTTTAACTGCTATTAGCCTGGAATAGTCTAGAAAACGACTTGATATTTAAAGTGCAAGTGTTTTATTTAAATGTTTGAATATTCTTTAAAACTTATACTTTGAAACTAGAAAAATCAAATCAAGGACAAGGTTACAGTAAAACTCAGAAGATACAAATGCCTAAAACTTGCAAGTTTTGTTTCAAAAAAACTTTTTCAATAGATTGTATACATGGCATCTAAGTATTACTCACCATCTTTCTAAATGAGAAAAGGTATTTCAGTGGAGAAAGGTATGTCTGAAACTATTAATCAAATTTATTTTATAAAGGTTTGGAAAAGAAAACTCAAGTACTGCAGCCAGAGGAGAAAAAGACAGTAGCATATCATGAGGCAGGGCATGCAGTTGCAGGATGGTTTTTGGAACATGCTGACCCACTCTTAAAGGTAAAGAAACTAATTTGAACTAGTAATATAATAGTAGCATGGACAGCATCTTTTTCTTTCCTTCATCCCCTCCAATCCCCTCAATGTTGAAAGGGTATTAAAATATGTAATCTCCAAAAAGATACTGTGTGTAAACTTTAGAGTACTACTTTGGTTCGCTTCTTGTAGCTTTCTTAACTGTTTCTGACTTAGCTGTTACAGGGTTTGTAGTATAAATGTCCTTGGAAAGTGAAAGGGACCTGATCTTCTCATGAGTCTGCCTGCCTTGATAGCTGCTTTTTTCTCTGAGACTTTTAGTACAGATCAATGGTTTAAGTTAATCTTACCAGGTTATGCAGGCAGATGCCTCTTCAGGAATATTAACTATAAAAATGATCATCTAGAGGCTGATTTTAGTTTAATTTGCTTTTTGGATGCACAGCTTGACAAGTCAAAGATAAAGGAAAAAGCACCCCAATCTCCCAAACTTGCTTTAACGTTCGTTTTGCATGGCTGTGTTCCTAACCTCATCTGACTTTCAAGCTTAAAATTCACCTTGTACAATTTACTGCTGGAAGGAAGGACATTAGTAAACAGGGAAAGTCCTCCAACTATTCAGAATACTAAAGATGCAGAAATGCTGTGTCTCTTACAGAATATTTAAAGCCCAATACATAACTCTGAAAGAATTGTGGATTTTCATTAAAAGATTAAAAAAATACCATACAATCTTTGGAAAAGATATGACAGTGGTCTTACCTTTCTTTTCCAGATATTCTAGTAGTTGTTACCCCATTTTAGAGCTAGCCAGGGCTTTTAAGGATAAATCACAATGAGGGCAAAACTGTAAACGGAAATAATGTCTGAATTAAACTTCAAGGGTGAGTATGGTATAGGTTGTGGTATTAAAAATTAAGTCAAACCATAGAATGGTTTATGTTTTTTAACACTACTGAGTTCTAGCATTCTGTTAATTTTGATTGTAGGTATCTATTATCCCACGCGGTAAAGGACTGGGTTATGCTCAGTATTTACCCAAAGAACAGTATCTTTATACCAAAGAGCAACTACTTGACAGAATGTGCATGACTCTGGGAGGACGTGTATCTGAGCAAATCTTCTTTGGAAGAATTACAACTGGTGCCCAAGATGACTTGAAGAAGGTGACCCAGAGTGCATATGCTCAGGTATGGGCGGAGTTGGGTTTTTTTCCTTACAGTTTTTCCTTATCTACCACCTAACACTAATATCTTCAAAGGGTGCAATTTGATCAAGTATGACCCTCAAAAGCCTACTTTCAAAAAAAATGTTATGACTAAACATTATGCTACGGTTGTATAGTGATGCTGATGACTCAAGTATTTTATTATAGTCTTACAACAGGAGTACAAATGATAGGCCCACAGGAACATATATGCCGCAGTTAATTCAAATACATGTGGAAATGATGTATTTTTAAAATGAAATTTATTGCTCAGATTTGATCATCTGATGCGCTTCTACAATTGCCCCATTTGAAGACCCAGTTAGGATTCACATGCGTAACTAAATCCAGAACACGTTGTATTTAAGCAGTATTTGCTGTCAATTAAGGCCACTGAAATTAGTTTTTGTACCCTATTAACTAGTGTAGATGAGTAACTTGAAATCTTATCAATGTAATGACTCACCTAAGTGTAGCTATGTAGTACACACGGGTGCTTCATTCCATTTCCTGCATCAACACAAAAGCTGTCATTTTATAAGACGCTGACAAGGTGAGCAATGGAGACATTGTAGAGCACACTTCCCTTCCCCTGTACAACACTTACCCCCAGCCCCAAGCTGCACCCATTTGCTGGTCTCTGGTGTTCTTCCTGTTGCCCCAGTTATGGAAGTAAATGTGTAATCAAATGCTGTTAATATTAATTTTATGGAATCTTCAGTGACTCTTGTTCAAATTTAAATTAAAAAATGCTTAAGCATAGACTTTTGTTCATGTGAACTAGACACATTGTCTCCAGAGAACTGGAGGCTTAAATAAAAAACTCTTCTTAAGGGAGCAGGTTGTAATGCTTGTTTCTAATACTGAGATCTCTTTGAATTCTGATCATTCTTTGTCATACCTATATTCATCTTGCAAGGCTGCTTTAGTAGTTCAAGTGCCGCTTTCGTAACCATCAAATTGATAGTGGCCGTGGAGTGAATACGTAAATAACAGTTCGAATTTACTTCTGCATCTGCTGGAGTAAAATGCAGCTTAAAACATCCATATTTGGCAACCAGATGAGTTAAATATTTGGTAATGAGTCAAGAAAGATAATTTTCACCTTTGTAGGGGAGTGTCTTGGGATGAAGTACAGCATATGATTTTTACATATGACAGGACAAAATCTTCAAGACCTTCTGCTTTAATCCTTATGTTAACTTACCTATATGGGCAAGTGGAATATGCTATACTTTAGAAGCATTTTGAATTGAACAATGCTTATATTTCTGGTAAAGGAAAAGAGTTTTACTGCAAGATGAAGGCTGAAGTGTTTTTTCTGCAATATCTTAATGCTTAAACAGCAAAGCATTATGCACATCATGAGTAACTACCTTTAAGTGGTTGTATTTGGATGCTTCAATTTAATCATTAAAAAAGAGTAAGTGAAAGTCAACTAAGGTAGTTTAGCTTAGGTAGATTTGAGTTTTCAGGGGAGGGTTGGTTTTAGAGGAAAAGATTGGATCATAGTGAACTAACTTAATCCTTTCAGTTTTGTTTACCAGATTTTACATCAACATATCCTAAACTCTTGCTCTCCTTTGATTCTTTTTTCTTTTTTCTTTTTTTTTATTCAGATTGTTCAGTTTGGTATGAATGAAAAAGTAGGGCAGATTTCCTTTGACCTACCTCGTCAAGGAGACATGGTGTTAGAGAAACCTTACAGTGAGGCCACTGCCAGATTGATAGATGAAGAAGTACGGTCGCTTATTAACATTGCTTATGACAGGACATTAAGTCTTCTGACTGAGAAGAAAGCAGAAGTGGAGAAGGTGAGCATTACAATGTTTTTAGCCACCAAGTTCTAGCTGGTAAGCTGGAATCTGAATTGAACGGAATAGATTAAAAATAGTGACTATATGAGGAAGCTTGCTCAAAAACTATTCAATATAATCTTGAGAGTGTGTCACAAGACTTATCTTAATAGAAATCTCCTGTGTTGGAACACCTCTGACATTCTCATGAATGTGATTTAACATCTATCACCGCTTATATGGTCAATACTTGTTTGCAGAGTTGGAGGGAAGAGTCTGTCTGCTGAAATAGGCTTCAGCAGATGTACTGAACAAGTATGACAAAGACTCAAATATGAAATACCAAGATTCTGATTCATTAGGCTAAAAGAAGGTCTCTAAGAAGGGAAGTATGCATAACTTCCTTTCTCTGAATTCCTTTTGAACTTCACATAAAAGAATCTTTCTACCATCTGCCTTCCCTACTCCCTGGCTGCTTGTGACCTGCCTCGCTGCAGCTGCGACTACCCTTGTGCATATTCTCTTTCTCCATGCCAGGAAGCCTGACACAGCAAAAGGATAATTTTCCAGGATGGGCATCTGATGGGTTTACTGACAAGACAAGTTTGTATGGATTCGGTAAATGGCGTTGTAATAGGTCACCATCCCAAAAAAGATCACTGAATATGGTTTGCACTGAACAACGCGCTCACTGATCCAAGAAGGTTACAAGCTACGCTTGTACAGTATTGTACGCATTTGGTATTTTGTGGTGCTTTAGCTTGTAACATTAACAGCGGCCCTATTGAACCATCTGGTTTGATAGGAAGGGAACGCTTGTTTTCATCTATAGCTTAATGTCTTGCATCAGGAGCCTTCTGGCAGCAGCGAAAGGCTGCTGTTTTGAGGCAACAATAACAGCAACAGTGGCCCATAGGGAGGGCACTTTGCCAAGTCGTAGGATTAAAAAATGGTATTTTCGCTACCTAAATACTCACAGGGGAGAAAAATCCTGTATTACATGAACTCTGAGCAACCTGGTTTTTCTGTCAAAATTAATTGGTGCCAAATTTGGTTCCAAACTGCCTGAACAAACTCTACCAAAGAAGAGAACAACTTTGGTATTTTGTGTGTGACACATCTTATTGCTATTCCAGGTTGCCCTGCGACTACTGGAGAAGGAAGTGCTTGATAAAAGTGATATGCTAGACTTGCTTGGCCCAAGACCATTTGCAGAAAAGTCAACTTATGAAGAATTTGTTGAAGGTACAGGAAGTTTGGATGAGGATACTTCACTACCAGAAGGCCTTAAAGACTGGAACAAAGACCGTGAAAAACAGAAAGAGGAGACAACAGATGAACAGGTTGCTAGGCAGATCAGAGGAGGGATGCCATTTTAACTGCAAAGTGTGTGGTGATGTTGACTTGCACTCTGGAAGAGAAACAAACTCACCTAGTTTGTACTTCAAAACAAAAAAAATATTTATTCAACCAAACTGTATTAGGGATGGGTGGAAGAGTGATCTCTTGTGATGAGGTGAGGATATTCTGCTCCCAGTTTACGTATGTGATATCATCAGTTCATTGGTAAAAGATGATCATCTTTCAGTTGTCAACTGAAGAAACGTACATTGGATTTAAGCTGCAGTGGAATGCCAGAACTGAGCCTCTCAAACTTTGCAACAGTTCAGATTCATGCACAAACTTTGTGGCACTGGTGTCTCTCTTTTTTTTTTTTTTTTTTAAATGTACGTAAGCTTACAAAAATTCAAGGTTTTTTGATTATTCATCCAGGGTGCCCCCGTCCAAAAAAAAAAAAAAAAAAAAAAGTCATACAAAATGCATTGTTGAATGCTTAGCCAAAAGTCTGGTCTTATGAGTACTAGCTTTGCAAAACTATCAGCTCTTTCATCTGATCCTTTTCCCTTCCACCTTTCATTTTGATTTTAGAAAGAGTTTGTCTACAGAGAACTGCCATGTAAATTGACAGTGAAACTGGACACCCACTTAAATATCTTAAACTGTACTCATGGTTCAGTGTCTAAGTCTGAAACTCAGTTTGGCTCCTGCAGTTTTATTAGTCAGTTTTTTACAGAATTCTGTAAGATATTGAACATATGAATGTGTTGTGTAAATACAGTTTGAGTCAATAAAATCAGTACTTTTCTGAACAAATTTTGTCCTTTTTCTTTTCTGGTTTCTTGGTATAGAATTCAGACCAATATAAAACTTCAGCTTAAGTGTAAGATTTTGTTAAATTAGGGTAGCAAAGTAGTTCTCAAATACAAAAACCAGCAGCTAAATTCAAAGGTGTTAAATGACATTGTCAGTTTCATATTGGTTTGCTTGAACTAAAGCTTACCGCTTCCCCCCCCCCCCCCCCCTTGTGTAAAAAACACTGGCTTACCC